GTTGGCGCAGGTCAGCAGGGTGGCCGTCGACTTATTCAGGTCGTCCCACACCCAGTCGAAATCTGTTCAGGGAGCACAAGAGGGGACAAGGATGGACAAAGGCCCTCAGGGAGCCAGCCCGAAGCCAAAGCACAGGCGGACATTTGTTTTGAAGGCCTGTTGGGTTTTTTATTTACATTTTTTTACTTTTAAGAGGGTAAATCCTAGAGCTGTGCACATTAGAGAGTTGTTTAAGGCCTGAACTATTCTGCAGTATCCCACCGGGGACGGTTCAGTGCTCTGAACCCAAAGCGGTCAGCATTAACCAGTTCCCGTTTTGGCTAACACGAGGCTCCGCAGGCCCAGGCAGAGCCTCCTTTCCTCCTACCCTTCTCAAGGGGTAGCTCCGCCACGCCGCAGGCTTTCTGGGCCAGCCCAAGCCCACCCTCTGCCTACCTCTCCCCTCTGCTCTGAGCACGCCCTGCCGCGCAGCCGGGCGCCCCGCCAGCCGTACCAGGGATCAGCGGCAAAAGAGCTGTAACCACGAGGGCTGGTTTCACTGGTGGCCTCAGCTGGATTTGAAAGCAGGTCCCCAGAGGTGAACTCTCATGCATTAACAAGTTCAGCACTTAGCCCTTGAAATATCACAGGAGGCATGTGTTTGTAATCTTCCTACAGTCTACGAGGCCTTGAGATGTAAACAAAGGAGCACCGCACACCGGGACAGAGATAAGGGCCCCCGTGGAAAGCGAAAGATCCGTGCCGCCAGGCAACGTGCCCACCTCAAACCCCAAAGGACCACAGTGGGCCGCTGGGGAGCCCCTTCCTTACACTCGTCCTCCTCGCCGCACTGGCAGTCCTTGACGCGGTGGAGGGCGTGCAGGCTGGAGCAGTAGGGCGCTTCGCTCTGGTTCTCACAGTTGCAGTAGGACTCTCCGGTCACAGGGATGGCGCTCGGGATGGAAGGCGAGAGGGAGGAAAACTCTGGCTCTGAATCAGAGTCGCTGTGCTGCCAGGGAGAGAGGAGGAACGGTCGCTATTGAACGCCCCCAGGCTCAGGCAGCCAGCCTGGCAGAGGTCTGCGAGGTCTGGCACACCACAGAGCTGTGCGGGGAGGTCCCCAGGCTGGTGCCAGAGCCGGAGGTGGCACAGCTGCACCGTGCCCAGGCCTGGCCCGCCACGCCAGGAGGCGAGGGGCTGTGCCAGTCGAATAACCCTGCTTAATAACCCTAAGACCTGGCTTGCCCGTGTCTGAGCTGGAGAGACCTCTTGGCATCGGGCACTGTACAACGTGGGTACGTTCACTGTGCCTTCTAGGGGCAATGAGCTGTCACAGCAGGCAAGCAGCGCGACAGTCCAAGTCTTTAACACACAGGGTTTTAAGCAAACTCTATGCTAAATCTACAGTTTTCAACAGGCAGGTTCCAGCCAGCTGGAGACCCCGGCCAAGGCATCACAAAAACAGAGCACGCTGCCAAAAACCACTGCTCTAGAGAGCCCAGGAGCCGACGGAGGGAAGAGAGAGGCAAACTAGGAGGAAAAGAGACAGGAGATCAGGCAGGAGAGAGGGCAGAACAAAGGGGAACCAGGTAAGCAGTACAGCTGCAGCTCCTCACACCAGTGCTGCAGACAGAGCCACAAGGAACCTACGAAGGATTCAGAGGCTTTTGTTTCCTTTCATACATAAACACAAAAACTTGATTTACTATTCCCCAGTGCCAAGAGACCAAAGCGTCCCCGCACTGGACACTGTAAGAGTCAAAGCTCCGTCTCACTCCGTATGTGTCGGGAGGCTTGGTGTCACTTAATGGAGTCTCTTACCACAGGTCGCAGCGAGTTACTCTCTATTTCACGCTGGTCAGATGTTCCTGCTCGTTACTCACCCCCATGGCAGACTTTGTAAGCAGTATTTAGAGAAAAAAATCCTTTAAACTCATGTTCTTGTAGCTGTGTAAGACAGTAGGATTGGAAATGACTTGGGCTCACTTACTGCCCACCCTTCCTTCTCTAGCCTGCATACTAAAAAGCTTGGTTTCTGTCTTTCATTGGCCCTTCCTAACTATTGCTATCTAGAAATCCAGCCATTCCTGTTACTGCAGAAACACAAAGCTACTCTGACTGCAGAGAAAAGGCTCATTTTCTGGGAGCACAGTGCCTGGGTTTTGACACCGTGCTCTGGCAGTGGCCTCATAAAGCTTTGGCTTAGCTCTGAAGCTCCAGGAGCAGCTCCTTGTATCCCCACCGCTGCACAGGGAGCTGAACTCACACACTCAAGAAGCGGGGAAAAGGGGGAAGGATGACAGAGGTGACTCTAAGTCACTCCTCACGCTGTTTTGACTGACTGCTTTTCCTGCTGTGTTCCCATCTTCCAGCACGGTTGGATTCAGAAGGGACGCACACGTTACAAAACGTGAGAGAATTTCAGTTCCGAGGTATCTGAGACTGTAACTTCACAGACTGAAGCAGCCCCACTCCCTCCACCACCATCTACCAGCCGCACAGCGAGCCAGATTGGAGAAGTCATCCCGAGTAAGTGCCTACTGCCGCGGGAGAAGAAAGCTTTCCCTCGTGTCGCTTCAGAGCCACCCGAGCGCCAGCCTACCTGCCCATCGGAGT